CAGCTAACAGATAATAAAGAGCTGAGACTTGTTAACATGCCAGCTAACAGCTAACAGATAATAAAGAGCCAAGACTTGTTAGCATGGTGGCTAACAGCTAACAGATCGTGAAGAGCTGAGGCCAGTTAGTATGGTGGCTAAAAGCTAACAGATCATAAAGAGGTGTGGCCAGTAAACATGCTAGCTAACAGACCATGACGAGCTGTGGGCAGTTACCATGCTAGCTAACAGCTAACAGATAATAAAGAGCTGTGGACAGTTAGCATGCTAGCTAACAGCTAACAGATCATAAAGAGGATCACACCTGCCCCCCCCCCCCCCGTTAGCTCAGGAATCCGGGAACGTTCCTGTTTACAGCGAGAACTGGGTCAGATAATCAATTTCCCCACATGCTAATAATAGAAGAAGAAGTTTAGGGAGAATAAAGGCGGCAGCCAGACGCCCAACGCAGCTCAGAGCAGAAAAGAGAGACTTCAGAGGAGGAAAACAAAGAAACGCATTCAGGAGGATTAAAATGATCCAAATGTCTGAGTTTCAGCCCCCGAACTCGTGTTTCCACAGAGCTCATTTAGTGGAAACCAGAGCTGCTTCTGGAGGAGAAAAGCAGCAAATCTGAGTTTAAATATCAGATATTTTGATTTATTTTTATTTGTTTTAGTCATTTATCTGATTCCCTAACTAAGTTATTTGGGATTGTTTCAGCTTCTGTTGTAAAAACTGACACATTTCCAACATTTTAGTGTAAAATCAGAGAGACGGACCGGGCTATTTCCTGGTTTATTCCTGTGGTTTTACTGATGGGGCTGGGCTATTTCCTGGTTAATTCCTGGTATTTTTGCTGATGGGGCAGGGCTATTTCCTGGTTTATTCCTGGTTTTTTTACTGATGGGAACGGGCTAATTCCTGGTTTATTACTGATATTTTTACTGATGGGGCCGGGCTATTTCCTGGTTATTTCCTGGTGTTTTTACCGATGGGGCCGGGCTAATTCCTGGTTATTTCCTGGTGTTTTTACCGATGGGGCCGGGCTAATTCCTGGTTATTTCCTGGTGTTTTTACCGATGGGGCTGGGCTATTTCCTGGTTAATTCCTGGTGTTTTTACCGATGGGGCCGGGCTAATTCCTGGTTTATTCCTGGTGTTTTTACCGATGGGGCCGGGCTATTTCCTGGTTTATTCCTGGTGTTTTTACCGATGGGTTCGG